GTTTACTGAAGCGGCGCAGTCCCTCTAGCCGTCCTGCACCTTGGAAAATAATGCCTGAATGCCAGTTGCCATGGCAACACACCACGCCACCAGAAGTATATCTAGAAACAGCAGGGATTAGCCGCACAGGAAGCAGTGAGGTGCCAAGCAAACCACATACTCGCTTTATTAAAATAATATAGCACAACATCACACAAAAAACAACTCTCTTCCAGCGAGTGAGATGTTATTTTTCATGCCGAACACACAACTGAACAAACTGTGACTGTGCAGGCTAGAGAAGGGTGGGCTTAGGACATTGCGCTCCCTTGTTTTTGGAAGCTTTTAAAGGTATCTGAATATAGGGAAGCTGTGGAAGATGAGGAAGGATGTAGACAGAATTTAAAATTAAACCAGTTGCTTCTTACAGTTCCAGTGAGGTATTTGTATAGAAAGGGCATGTATCATATACATAGGGCATGGCTGCAACCAGGCCAGCAGAGCGGGGAGTAAAAGAATGACCCAAGTCATGCTTGACAAAATTAGTACATCATACATGGGCCCAAGTCATGTTTGGGCCCATGTATGAATCTCTTGGTTGAAATAGCTCTTTGTACACATAGTCATGGTGTATCTCATGGTGTTTGCACCCACCATAGCATCTCAAGGAATGGCTAAGTATGAATAAGTGAGGTTGTGCTGCACCAAGAATCCAATGTCTTCATGGCAATTCACTGGTCATTTAGCTCATATATGAAGCTGCACTCCTAGTGGTACTAGATAGGTGGGTGCTTGACGTAATAGTTTCAGATGGCGCTGCACCAAAACCAGATTAAGGGATGCAAAGTCACCAGCACTCCAGACATGGATGGTCCCTTTCTCAAGGCAACATAAAGTGAAGCTCTATGGTCACTCTATGTTGCCTTGAGGAAGGGACCCTGCAAGGCCTCGAAACATTGGTATATGTGCCTGTGATGTTATTCTTCACAATAAATTTGTTAGACACAATTTTATGTTTGGGGCGCTGGTGACTTCGTATCCCATCATGGGGTCTTGGAGCTGCACCATTCGATGCTATCACTTCAAGCACCCTCCTATTATTTGAAGGTCTAGTACTGTCAAGAGTGCAGCTTCACATATGAACCAGTGATATGCCATGAAGACGTTGGGTTGGTGATTTTGCATCCCATGTCACTGGTCATTTCATGCCGGCAGCTCTGTGCTGGACCAGCAATGACTGAAATATAATAAATCATATCTCGCTGTCACTAGGAGCCCTATGCACTTAAAGACTAGATATAAGGATGTACTGGTTTTGTATATATATGTGAAAGGTGACTAAGACCCATCTACATCTACTGTCCACCACTACTGTCAAGGATTGCCATTCAAGTATCTACCAGAACACAGTACAGAGTATTAACAACACACAGACGTACAGTACAGAGCAGTAGAGGGATAATAAGCAGTAACACTATACCGACTACTTAGAGCTCCATGGGAATCAGCACAGTATGGAGCTGTAACAGCATAATGGACATCAGAACAATAGAGAGCAGATACAGCACCATAGGCAGCAGAATAGTGCAGGCCAGTCACAGCATGATGTTAGAAGCACAGTGCAGGCCAGGTACAGCACCATGTAGAGCAGTACAATGCAGGCCAGGTTCAGAAATATGGATAGTAGCACAATGCAGGCCACATACAGCACAATGGACAACAGCACATAGCCAACCAGATAAAGTACAATAGAAAGACAGCAGCACAGAACAGACCAGTTACCACACAATAAAGCAGCAGCATAGTGCAGAACAGTTATAGAACAACAGAAAGCAGTACAATGCAGGCCAGTTAAAGAACTATGGAGAGTAGCACAATACCGGCCAATTACAGCCCCATGGACACCAGCTCAGAGCTGACCAATTATAGCACCATAGAAAGAGAGCAAGACATAACAGACCAGTTAAAGCACTACAGACAGCAGCACAATGCAGGCTGGGTACAGCACCATGGATAACAGCACCATGAAGGCCAGTTTACAGCACCATGGACAACAGCATGGTGTGGGCCAGTTACAGCACCGTGGACAGCAGCACAGCGTAGGCCAGCCAGATCTCCACGATCAGAAGCACAGTACAGACCAGTTACAGCACCATGGACAACAGCATGGTGTGGGCCAGTTACAGCACCGTGGACAGCAGCAAGTGTAGCCCAGCCAGATCTCCACGATCAGAAGCACAGTGCAGACCAGTTACAACACCATGGACAGCAGTACAATGCATGCCAGTTCCAGCTCCATGGTCAGAAGCACAGTACAGACCAGTTACAGCACCATGGACAGCAGTACAATGCATGCCAGTTCCAGCACCATGGACAGCAGTACAATGCATGCCAGTTCCAGCTCCATGGTCAGAAGCACAGTACAGACCAGTTACAGCACCATGGACAATACCATGGACAGCAGTACATTGCAGACTAGTTACAGCACCATGGACAGCAGTACATTGCAGACTAGTTACAGCACCATTGCCAACATCATAGTACAGACAAGTTGCAGCACCATGGACAGCAATACAGTGTAGGCCCGATACATTACCATGGACAGCAGCATAGCCCAGGTCAGTTACAGCAATATGGACAGAGGCACAATGCAGACCAGTTACACCTCAATAGACAGCAGCACAGTTTAGGCCAGTTAGCAGCACAGCGGACATCAATAAAAAACCGATCAGTTACAACACAATGGATAGCAGCATGGTGTAGGACAGTTACAGCACCATTGACATCTGCAAAGTACAGGTCAGTTATAGCACCATGGTCAGCGGCACAATACAAAGAAATACGAGGATTATGGACAAAGAAAAGCAGTGGTATATTTATAGACAAGGACACAGTATACTGTTGCCTAAATGGTGCACCACTATCACAACCTTTAGCATGATCTGCAAAATAATGCCAGTCTTAATTTAGATATTTATCACTAGACTGCTGTATGTAAAATAGTCCAGAACCCATTACAGTACAAGACAGCTACAACACCGTATGACATAATACAAAGCTATAAAAATACAACTTACAGCTGCAAAGTACAGGAATCTAATAGCACCATGGAGAACAACATACACTATGCTGAAGTGGCCATAAAAAAGGAAAAAAAAAGCATTAAACAACTTTAAAGGATAGGAAAGGATATCTTTTTTTTTTTTTTTTTGGTCCTGAAGAAAATGAGCTGCTGCTAATCGACCCTGATAAAATTAATTCCTGAAGCCAACTAGCACTCATTAATATAGCCATACTAATCTGTCTAATTTGGGCATAGCTCAGCCAATTAGATATCACAGCTAGATAATGTTGTGCATCTGCGACTCTCTAAGCAGCAAATCACAACCACTATCTATCACTTAGGCTGCAGAGTCTAACTAGCTACTTTGGATGACACCATGATGTGAAAATGGTATTTGCAGAAGGTCAAGGGTAATCTATTGACTTAGAAACTGAATAGGTAAAAACAGCTTTCAATAAAAGTACGAATAAATGCTGGGGGAACCTTTGAACCCCATTCTGACTGGCCCATAGTCATGCTTTGAATAAGATTGGTAGGTTCTGAACCAAATCTTTAGTTTTGATAATATTTTAAGAAATAATGTTTATGTGTATCCCTTCAGGTTATTTATTTATTTTTAATTTGTGTGCAGTTGGGCAAATGTCCCTTTTTTTCTCTCTGAGAGATGCAACATAATTATGATGTGAAGTATCCCTTAAGTGAGGGGATTTTCCTTTATATAAAGTTGTCACCAGAACAGTTGTCCCCATTGGAAGACCTACAGTATCCTCACTAGGTATGAGCTTTGGGTTCAGGTAGATCAAAAGTTTGACCAGAAACCAAGCTGTTCACCGAACGGGTGAAAGATTCACCCAGTTCACCCACCCATTAAAGATCCATCTGTCTGAGGAACCAATGATGCTCTATGGCCTGCACAACATCAGTGGTTGACTGGTGGCTGAGCCACACAAAATCATTGGTTGCTGGGACACAGGTGGGCACACTATAACAACCTATGACACTATGGGGTCACATTGCATCATTGGTTGACTAGTGGCTGAGCCACACAGCGTCATTGGTTACTGGGACGCAGGTAGACACACTATTGGATGCTGGTTGCACCACAGTGTCATTGGTTATCCTAGCAACCAATGATGCTGTGCAGCCCAACCTCTAATCTCCTAGCAACCAATGATCCTATACAGCATGCACATTATTGGTTGACTGGTGGCTGAGCTACACACAATCATTGGTTGCTGGAACATGTGGGCACACCATAATTAAACAGCCTATGACACCATTGGTTGATAAGATGCTGGTTGCCCCACACCATCATTGGTTGCTAACTTGCTAGGATACAGGCAACCCTGCGTTTGGTTCCCTTAGACAATTGACAAATCCAGATTTCAGGCTGAGTTTGGTGAACATCCAAGCAAGCTAATCCCAGGCCAGTTCACTCATCACTGATCCTCACCCCTTGTTCTGGTGACTGTAACATTTTGCATGTTTTTGTTTCAGTGACAAGGGTCCCCAAGACAATCTCCCCACTGTGGGCACAGTGAGCAATCAAAAATTACCCAGGATCTAACTTGAACCTGAGAAGCCAATATACTTGCAAATTACCAATTTAGTAAATTTACCTTTGCAAAGAGACACTACAAGTTATGACTCTGTAATTGGAAAAATATGAATAGAACTAATTGAGCAGAAAAATACTAACAGCATATGGTTACCCCTCCTGGCTACAAATGAACACCAAAGTAACAAAAACTTTAAAACAACATGAGAGCTTCACAACCAAAACTATTAATGCTCATCAATCTTCCCTAACAACAAGATATCATATAAACCAGCCAACAAGGCTGTAACAGAGTAACTGCTGGTTATGAAAAGCAGATTCAAAAAAAGTTACTATAACCCTGGGGAACCCTTGAAATGCACCAGCAGAGGTCCCAACCCAGCACAGTTCACTACTCACCGGCATCGTCTGACTCCCATGTAGGGCGTTAATGGCTGCCTGTGCTTCCGCATGCGATGAGTATTTGACAAACGCACATCCTGAAAATGAAAGAACACAAGACCTGGTCACCATAACATGACTTACAAACTCGACAGTAATTGTAGAAAGTTACATACAGTATGTGATATGTAGCACGGATGTCGGGAGCTGCAGTGAGACACGTCTGCTCAGTCTCACATCCCGGCCACGCCCCTACAGTATGTGACTTTAATGGTCATGGCATCGTTAGGCATTTTCTCAGCCATCTTCATTGTAATACTGTTACTTTAACTATGACAAGGATATGTGTAGGTTCAGTTATAAAATTATAACTCAGAGTATCTATCTATCTATCTATCTATCTATCTATCTATCTATAGAAGCAGCTCGTGCAGCCAAGATGGCGCCGGCGCACGTGTCAGCAGGCCGGCCTGGAGTGCCACCGCTCGCTCGGGACCGGGTCGATCGTCTCCTGGTCCGCATCAAGGAGAAGGCAGGAGTCACCGGATCACCCGACAGTACTGGGTGAGTATTTCGGCCGGTTTGTCAGCTAGCTAAGGGTCAGGATGTAGCACGGATGTCGGGAGCTGCAGTGAGACACGTCTGCTCAGTCTCACATCCCGGCCACGCCCCTACAGTATGTGACTTTAATGGTCATGGCATCGTTAGGCATTTTCTCAGCCATCTTCATTGTAATACTGTTACTTTAACTATGACAAGGATATGTGTAGGTTCAGTTATAAAATTATAACTCAGAGTATCTATCTATCTATCTATCTATCTATCTATCTATCTATCTATCTATCTATCTATCTATCTATCTATCTATCACATACACTGCCTGGCCGAAAAAAAATAAAAATCCCACACTCCAATATTTTATTGGGCCACCTTGGACAAGAAAAGCATTTGCCGTGGCATAATTTCTATAAGCTTATGCAATGTCAAAACATTTCTTTTCCTCCAGAATTGCATACATTTTTCACCAAGATCTTGTAGTGATGATGGGAGAGTCGGAGCAATGTGCAAAGTCTTTTCCAGAACATCCCAGAGATTCTCAATGCTGTTAAGGTCTGTGGTGGCCAATCCATGTGTGACAATGATGGCTTATGATGGCTCTTTCACAATTTGGCATGCTGGTACTCTGACTGTGCGCCCAGTTAGCTAAATACATTCCAGGTGCATTACAACAAAAAGTGTTGAACATCGTCTAGTTTATTTTCTTTAGCAAGCACCTACAGCCTGAATATTATTATTATTATTATTATTATACAGGATTTATATAGCGCAAACAGTTTGCGCAGCGCTTTACAATATATGGAAGACATTACAATCACAATACAATTCAGGACAAGAAGGTAAGGAGGGCCCTGCCCGTGAGAGTTTGAGTAGAAAAGGCTTCCCCATGACAGCATGCTGCAGAAGAGGACCCTTGTTTTATGTGTGGAAGCAGTGGTCCCACTGCACAGGGGCTTTCCTAAAGAAAACTTACTGCCTGGGGCATGTGCCATTCACCAAACAGTCAATGCAGGTGAATCAATCACTGCAATATAAAAAATACATGCAACAGTAAGATAAACAACCAGCATATATTTGGTAAATGTTACATTCAAGGATTTAAATATATACTCCCATGACTTTGCACAATTTGTTTTTTTTTTATGCACCTGGAATGTATTAAGCCGATGGAAACAGAAGGTTAATATGAGCAACTCTATTTTAAAAATTGTAAATGAGGCCATCCCTGATGCAAAAAGGAGTTGTTCAAATACCAAAAAGCCCTAATAGGAAAGTGATGCTGGGCGTCCTCCAGCCAGAAAATGAGGCGCGCTCTATCTGACTTGCTGCAGCTTCTAATGCACATTGCGAGAAGCTCCCAGTGTGCAGTGAAATCAGAGTAAGCAATTTCAGTCCAGGAGAGGAGATGATACAACTGTGCAAGGCTAAAGGGGAGGCCGGAGGTCAGATATGAGACTGAAGGGAAGGACGGAGGTCAGCTTTACCACAGCTGGAGTTTTCCTCTAGCACAATGTTTTGTTTTGTTTTCCCTCTACTATATCTCACCTTTTTCTGAAGATCTCTCTAGTCGCCGTACTTTGCAGCCCAACTGTTAATAATCTTTACACACCCGTCTCCCATCTCTACGGTGACTCATTTGCATGCAGTGATTTAGAGAACACGATATGGATATAGCAATTAAAACGTATCGATCGCCAGCCACCGTGACCTTTCTAAGAATCAGTAAATATCTGTCGTGGAAACTACAGTCCGAGTAATTAAAATGATTAAGAAGAGGCTCGGAAATGTTTGTTTAGAGGAAGCACCAGTCAGCTGGACGAGGCCTCGCCGGGAGAGATCGATAACCTACGCCAGGAAGTGCACCCCATTAAACAGCCACATGTCATTACAGTACAAGCTGCCGAACTGGAGGATAAATGTCAAAAATCTCCCGTTTTATGCTTGTGCCGCCTCCTGTAAACAAAAATGTACAAGACCATAAAATGGTCACACATGACTTTCATTGAGACATATACAGGTGAAACTCGAATAACTAGAATATCGTGCATATGTTCATTTATTTCACTAATGCAACTTAAAAGGTGAAACTAATATATGAGATAGACTCATTACATGCAAAGCAAGATAATTCAAGCCGTGATTTGTCATAATTGTGATGATTATGGCTTTCAGCTCATGAAAACCCCAAGAACCCCAAATCCACAACCTCAAAACCTTGCAGTTGAAAAGCATGAGAAGATCATATTCTATTTATGCTGAGGTCTGTGGATCGCAAATAATCAAGCACTCAATTCCAAAATGTATTATCCACTAACGACACGTTCACATACCTTTTAACCATTCATTCACTGTCATTAGTGGAGATATTTATTTTGTTATCTGCAGGTAATCTTTCCCTTTGTTTCGAGAGATTATTACATTTATTTGAACACCTATTCACAATCTGACCGAGCGCAACTTACTTGCTACACATTAGATCCACCTACACACATAGTTGCCGCTGGTCCAACAGCAGCATACAAAGGACATGATCTTCATACATGTTTCGGCAACAAGGGGACAATCATAGCTAGATTAAGGTCTCCTGTGGCTGAAAAACATAAGCAAATCGTGTCCTTTGCATGCTGCTATCTGTGGATCCAGCATTAATCCAGCATTCAAATCCAAGTTCCAATGATCTATTATCTGCCTATGCAGGGATGTCCTCATGATGAGGCAGCCTGTTGCCTCAGGTGGCATCTCTTTGGGACACATTGGGGGCGGCAGGCAGAGTGGCATGGCCACTCTGCTGCACAATGTTTGCAGTGCACCTGCTGCCCCCTTCCCGCCAGAGCGTACCCGGTTGGTAAGGGTAGGGCAGGGAGATATATATGTATGGGCCATACACATCTTTCCGCCCAGCTCATAGCAACTTGGGACGCTCTGGCCAGCATCCTGACGAGCCCCTGGAAACCAGTGATATCACTAGTTGCCAGGAACTCGGTGGGACACCTGTGAGCACATCTCAGATTGCTAAGAGCTGGACAAGGAGATACAGAGCCCATACACATCCCCCCCCCCAGCTCTCAGCAGCATCACTCTGCAGCACCACCCACACTGATTGTGCACCATACTGCAACACCCCCTCAGGGGAGAAAAAAGGCTAGAGATGCCCCTGTGCTTATGTGTTTTAGCCCCATGGGGCCTTAATCATAACAATGATTAAGGCCCCTTGAGGATGAAATGCATTATCATATTGTGTCCTTTGCATGCTGCATGTTGTCTGTGGACCACAATTAATCCAGGACTCTTAATCATAGGTATGAATAAGACCCCATGGGGCTTAAATGGGTAAGCAGATTGTGGCCTTTGGATAACAAATTATTGGAACTTGGAATCATGTGCAGGATTAATTGCCCGTGGGCTGGATTCATCTAAATGATCGAGACTGATAAGGGCTCAAGGAACATTTTGGGTAGTTAAGGGCCTCAGGATGGGGGAAGAGAAGGCAGAAGGGGAAGTTAGGAGTTGGGGTAGATGGGGGTGAAGGAGATAGGAAAGATGGGTGGGCACAGGAGGTGAAGAGAAGTAGTAGGCAATAAAGGAAGAGGAGTAGAAGGGAATAAAGGGTAGGTAAGCAGATGGAGAGGTGGGGAGTGCTAAATGATCGAGACTGATAAAGGCTCAAGGAACATTTAGTAGTAGTTAAAGTAGTTAGGTAGTTAAGGGCCTAGGGGGGGCTAGCAGTTGGGGGTATATGGGGGTGAAGGAGATAGGAAAGATGGGTGGGGACAGGAGGAGAAGAGAAGTAGAAGGCGATAAAGGGTTGGTAAGCAGATGGAGAGGTGGTGACTGCTAAATGATTGAGACTGATAAGGGCTCAAGGGACATTTTGGGTTGCTATGGGTCTGGAGATGGGGAAGAGAAGGCAGAAAGGGAAGCTGGAGTTGGGGTAGATGGGGTGAAGAAGATAGGAAAGATGGGTGGAGACAGGAGGAGGCGATAGAGGGTAGGTAAGCAGATGGAGAGGTGGTGAGTGCCCTAATATGGGAGGGGGGCTGTATTGCCACTCTTGGGCTCCTCAAGGGGATGCTTGGTTGCCCATGGGGAATGGGTGATCCGTTGGCCTTCAGCTTTAATACATGTTATACTCTTTTTAAGGAAAGTAGCTTTTCCTTTAATTTAGAAGCCCATTTAGAAACACGAGGTAACATTGTATCTCCGTCTATTTTATGGAATGTATTAAGACAATCCCATTGCCACTGTTTATAAAACACCTCTAGACAGGAAATTGGTTCTCATCTATCTTGCCCACCCAGGCATTTCAGGAAACAAAAGCCAGCTGGTCTTTGTTGTGTCTCCTATTCCCCCGTAATCTGCCGTTTCCTGCAGCTCACGAGCTGTTGTAGAAATAAAAGTTTTTGTAGTCAAAGTTGACTCCAGCGGAGGGGAAGTTTATGGAGAGAGGACCTGTCAAGACCCATACGTAGATCAGTAGATAAACTCTCATTAAATGTGATTTATCCTGGGGAGGTTTGTCGGATTAGAGAATTTGTATTGTGCTGGAAGATGGAATATTGTTGATCTGACAGTCCCGGGAAGTCTACAGAAATGATTCATTCGATTAAAGTGAAAAGGGAGCATTTGTCTGCTCCTTCTTATTGTAAGTCTTGATCTAATCCTTCTAGTCAACTCTCACTAACATATGGCCGGTCGATTACGATGAGAAGCAAGCCGCGGTGTATTTTCGGTAAGTAGCAATTTTTTTGATTTACTGTTGAGAGATTTGCGCGACAGAAACTTTCAGTGGGACTTTTTTTTATATCTTTACAAGAGCGCTTTCTTGCTGTTCCACATTCTGATTATTTTATTTAATAGAGTTTAAAACACGCCTGGTGCTCATTCACAGTTTGGGTTTTCTCAACTTAAAACTGAACAGTTAAATGCAATGATAAAACACATATAAGGGAACTGTTTTACCAGCCAATGGATCTGTATTTTTGTCCATCCAGTCCCAAGAGTCACAGAGCTCTGCAACACAGCACAGCCCTATATGGCAGGGTAGAAGACCTGTATTTTCTCTGCTGCATTTAAGTTAAATGTACAGGTCTTGTCTCTCTCCAAGTCTGTGACTAGACATTATGGACGATGGTGCCGTGTTGCCAAAACCCAATGTCACATGGATGGGGTGTGGTCTGTTTGGGATCAGCCTGCCCATTATTCACGAAAAGTTGTGCACACGTACATCTTCTTTTGCCTGCCCTTATTTGGCCACTTGTAGTCTCATGGTCAGCACAGTACTTAGTGGTTAACACTTCTGCCTTGCAGCACTGGGGGTCCCCGTTTTGAATCCCACTCAGGACACGATCTGCATAGAGTTTGCATGGTTACCCTGTGCTTGCGTGGGTTTCCTCTGAGTACCTCGGTTTCCGCCCACACTCAAAAGACATGCTGGAAGGTTAATTGTCTCCTGGCTAAATTGGCCTTGTATGTGTGTGCCATAGGGACCTTAGATTGTAAGCTCCTTGAGGGCAGGGACTGATGTGAATTATGTAAAGTGCTGCGTAAATTGTTGGCGCTATATAAATACCTATAATACATCAATGTGACAGGCTGGCAGTGCAAAAGCACAGCTGGGAGATGTCACCCCTTAACAGGAAGTGCCAGAACAAGGACCATTATGGCAGTATCACCTAACAGTAACACTTACAGGTCTTGTTCATTCCCCAGCTGGACAGTGAAAGGAGAAGCAGCAGACTGATGAGCTTATGCACATGGGCACTGCGGCACCGCTCACTGGATCCTTGTGTTGCTTCTCCCTCTTCTGTCTGAGCTCTGCTTTACAGAGAGTACAAGAGGCTGATACCAAGAGCTCTTAGCAACCTGTGATGCACGGTCTAGCATCCCGTCCAGCTGTGGCTTGTGTCCTGCCGAGCTCCTGGTAACCAGTGATGGCAGTGAGCTAGATGGGATACCAGGCAGAGCCCTCTGCCATCCCTCAGAACCCACAAACCCCCCTTCCCCCTTGCATGACAAATGTTACCTGCCAGCACAACCACCCCGGAATGACATCGCCTCAGGCAGTAAAACCCATAGGGACAGCCCAGTGTATGGTGAGTATAAGGGCTAGTTCACACCAGCCCCAGTGCGTTCCGGTCCGATTCTGGCCGTAACACACTGGATTACATTCCGGCCGGCTCACTTTGTTATGAGGTGGGAGGGGGCGTAGTGGTGCATTGAACTCAATGGCACCGCAGCCATGTTTTAAGGCCGCAGTGTGATCGGCCGCACGGGAACGCGTGGCACATCAATGCCTGCGTTCCGATCCGGTGCGGTCAGAAAAAATAGAGCATGCAGCATTTTGTTTGACCGCACCGGACCGGAATGTAGGCATTGATGTGCCACGCGTTTCCGTGCAGCCGATCACACTGCGGCCGGAGGGCATGACTGTTGTGACATTCCGCCACGCCCCCTCCCGCCCCAAAACAAAGTGAGCCGGCCAGAATGCGATCCAGTTCGTTCAGGCCAGAATCGGGCCAGAACACACTGGATCTGCCCATATGCAAATAGGATCACCATTTTATAATGGTGGTTGCATCAATAACTGCCTGCATAGCCAACCTACATAATGCTGCGACGTTGTCATTATTTCAAAATATACTAATAAGGATGATTTTTGCCATGCGGTGCTGAGTATCTAGCATACCTTTGCTGTTTCCATCTGGTCCTCGAAGGATTGTACACTCCTCGATATTCCCAAAAGCTTCAAATAGCCGACGGACATCGTCTTCTGACTGTTGTTTGTTCAACATGCCCACGAAGAGTTTTCTGTCTTCTGGAACAAAATAAAGAGATGCTTACCATATTTCGGCAACCCCAATCTCAAGACATTCACAACACAATAATGATATGATGTTTATCGCTGTAGAAATGTCCTGATGTACGGGCTGGCAGGTTGTTTTTATTTTGCAGTCACCATACTTGTGTTAAAAAAGAACTGCAGGATTTTATAAAATGTACCCTTGCAGTTGGTCGATAAGAGCCGCTCAATGATAACAACTCAAGTTTGGAAAAGCTGAACCACCCGCCTTTTTGCTCTTAAAAATGGTAATTGTTGCACATCTAGGAGTTTTTCCTCGCCAGATAAAGTGAAGGATCTGCTGATGTATTGGGCTACCTTTGCACTGCAAGGGTTAAGTGCTTGTTTTTGTCTAGGGGGCTCAAATAAAGAAATTATACTCACCTAATCCTCGGTCCTGCGGCAGTCAGCCCTTACCTCTCTTTCCCTCTGCTCCGGCTGTGGATGTCCCTTGGCATCCTCACATCTAATGCAAGTCAATAGACTTGCATTAGATGTGATGACATCAGCGGTCCTTAGACCGCCGAAGCCCAGGGGAGAACAGGCCGCAGAGACTGGTCTTGCAACCAGGTGGGACTGAGGATCAGGTGAGTGTGTCTGCTTTATTTGAGCCTCTAGACCAAAACGATCACCTAACCCTTGCAGTGCGGGGATAGCCTCCCTGCAAGGGTTAATTTTGGATTTCCTGGAGTTCCTCTTTAAAGTCAGATATGAATGTCCAAAAACACATATCCAAAAGGCCCTGGGACTTCAAAAACTCCATCAATTGAGGGAGAAACTCATGACTTCAAAAGAGCCCACTGGCTCTGGCAAGTCTGCTCACATACACCAAGGGGGTGATTTACTAACCTAAACACACACACACACCAGGTGTGTGTGATTTTCACACAGCAAAACGTATTTATCAACCAAAAAGTCTCTAAAAGCATATTTCCACTAATGCCATATATGGAAAGATCATGCACATGATGCATATATAATGCTGCTTCACAGTTTAGACAAAAATGGTTAGCTCATGCATTTACATTCCTTGCATTCATCAACGCAAGCAACACAACATAGAGCTAATTTACCCAACATCACCTTGGAATTCCTTCAGGGCTTTGCACAACACACCTGCTGGGTGTGTACACATTACAAAGGTGTTTAGATTCCACCCATAGATCATGCTGGGAGGGAACACACTGCAGAGGTGTATACACGTTTGTGGTGTGTTTATAAGGTTAGTAAATCAACCCCCAAGGCTCACCCTGATGGGTGCCCCTTTCACAAGTAGCTCAGAACTGTTCCAAGTTTCTTTAAATATTCCTAATATGAATATAGAAAAACATCCACATGTATTCACACCTTCATCAAGGCTTAAGACCAAAATGGTGGCTTGAATGGACTCAAACACACAAGTAGCCGAAACAGATCTGTATTTAGTTTTGCTTTGAGCTTCCCATGAAATATGGATCTGCCAATTCGTATTAGCGGCAGTTGACCAGATTAGTTAAATAGTTAGCTAGATTTATTTAGATACAAAAAATGGAAGATGTAACTGCCATCTTTGAAGATAAAGGCTCCTAGGGTGCCATTCCTCATTTACACTACTTAGTGAGTCACCGAACTGGAACAGCTATGTGGCCAAAGGAGTCATAGGTTCTGCATACTTGTTCTGGGCAAGTGACTCATTAAATAGCATAGCAAGGATAGTTATGATGACCCAGTTGATAACAAAACATGAAATAACCACAATAGATTTCTCTCCTGAGAGGTGGTCTTTGCCTTCAAGCCTTTTACCTGGTTAGGAAGATGGATGATTAAGGCCAAGTTCAGAAGTTTGTTTTGTCACTCATACATCTATGGCCATAACCACTACTGATCAAAGCAAGATCATGGCAGTAGATGATGTCCTCCTACAATTCCTATCTTTACCGAACGCACGTCAGCTCCAGAATTACAAAGATGCATGACCTATGACCCATCTTATAGAAAGGGTTACAGCTTACCAACTGATGCTTCATATCACTATTTATATTTGGGTGATTTTCCTGTCCTTAGAGAAATACGTAGCCTGCCATTTGTGACTTCTTCTTCTTCTGAATGAGTCCAGGCAAATCAACCCAAGAACACTTAGGGGGTTGTTCACTAAAGAGCTGAAGGATTTAGCCGAAAGTTCAGCTAATCCTTTGGCTTGCTTCGGCTACAGGAACCCCTTCGGTTCAGCTGAACTGAAGGGCTGCTGTACGTGCTGTTCACAATAGCCCGTACAGCAGCCAAAGCACACAGCCGAGCCCAACGCATATGCTTGGGCTCGGCACAACCGGAATGGGGGGAGCGGTCCACCGAAGCGGACCAAATCCCCGCTAGTTGTTAAAAAGAAAAAAACAGAGCGGGGTCCTCCTCCCAATTCATACCTGACCCTTTAGGTCTTGTAGGGATGTTAGGAGGGACCCCTGATGTAAAAGAAAATCCGAAATAAAGAACATCCAACACATCTTGGGGCAACAACACTCCCCCTTCATCAGGCCTTGAAACAATAATGTGGGGACTCTAAAGAATTCAAAGGACTGAAACCAGAGAAATCTCTTATTTAGTGTGGTCTGCAGTTCCATAATTTGATCAGCAACAGTTGGGAAAATGTACTTTTATGACAAGACAATAGAAGCGGTGCTTGTGTGATAATGATAACCAACTTCATATTCAAAGACTATACAGTATATCATTATTAATATATACTAGAACATGATCACCTCTAAGGCTGCAGGCATTGTCAGCCATTGGTGCTGCCTCATTATTCTCTACCATGAGCCGTATCATCAAATTTCCTACTGGCTGATGTCACCGATTCCTCACCATGGCTATTGCTTGGTGTCATGGAGCTTCCTAATCTCACAGCTTTCTGGGTTGACATCTCTGTAGATGTTTTAATTAGCAAAAGGTTGGGAGCTGCCGGAAGATGAGCAAGCTAAAGCAGGTCTATGTGCAAATCCACTCCACAGATAATAAAAAAGGAATTAAGGTACACTCCAGTCAAACATGAAATGGCCGTGTTTAGTTAACTCGGAAGACACAGCCTGTCTACTAAGTGGCTTTGATTTGACTTGGCATTTATTGCTGCACCACTAGATAAATCTCTACAGCTTGTACTGTCTTTCCCTGAATGGGAGAGGAATGAAGTCTATGTAGGTTTATGAGAATGCAGGCCAGGTGTTTCTTGGTTCCTGAAAGAGTCCCTCTCCCTGAATCCTCAACAATACACATTGGAGAATAAGAATACTATATATATATATACACACACACACACTGTATATATATACACACACACACACACACACTCAACAGCCACTTTATTAGGTACACCTTGCTAGTACTGGGTTGGACCCCCTTTTGCCTTTAGACCTGCCTTAATTCTTCCTGGCATAGATTCAACTAGGTGCTGGAAACATTCCTCAGAGATTTTGGTAATGACATGATGGCAACACGGGCCCAAAGTGTGCCAAGAAAATATCCCCCACACCATTGCACCACCACCACCATCCTGAACTGTTGATACAAGGCAGGATGGATCCATGCTTTTGTGTTGTTCATGGAAAATTCTGACCCGACCATCTGAATGTTGGAGCTGAAATTGAGACTCATCAGACCAGGCAACGTTTTTCCAGTCTTCTATTGTCCAATTTCGGTGAGCCTGTGCGAATTGTAGCCTCCATTTCCTGTTCTCAGCTGACAGGAGTGGCGCCCGGTGTGGTCTCCTGTGGCTGTAGCCCATCTGATTCAAGGTTGGACGTGTTGTCGTTCAGAGATGGTACTCTGCTTACCTTGGTTGTAACAAGTGGTTATTGGAGTTACAGTTGCCTTTCTATTAATTCATACCAGTCTGCCCATTCTCCTTTGACCTCAACAAGGCATTTTCCTTCACACAACTGCCGCTCACTGGATATTTTCTCTTTTTCAGACCATTCTCTGTAAACCCGAGACATGGTTGTGCCTGAAATTCCCAGCAGATCAGCAGATTTTGAAATACTCAGACCAGCCCGTCTGGCACCAACAACCATGCCACGTTCAAAGTCACTTCAATCCCCTTTCTTCCCCATTCTGATGCTTGGTTTGAACTTCAGCAAGTCATCTTCACCACATCTAGATGCCTAAATGCATTAAGTTGCTGCCATGTGATTGGCTGATTAGCAATTTGTGTTACCAAGCAATTGAACAGGTGTACCTAATAAAGTGGCCGGTGAGTGTATATATATATATTTATACACACAGTATATATATTGCATATGTAAAGGGAGAGAGGGAAAGAGAGAAGCTTTATTTTAAGGCAATTACATGGTAGCTACAAAGCTGAAAGTTTTGGGATCCCTGCCCTTTCTGACAGTTATACTCTATACACTCTATATGCTTACAAGACCAGGACAACCTCTAAACATGAGTCTAGCAAAATATGTTGTGAATGTCATTGAAAGAACCAATTGCAGCAACTACTGTGGCTCCAGCTTCTCAGCATCAACTATACTCTGTATATAAATGTAAAGCAACCCCCTTTTTTTCTTTCTGGTTGAGGAAAATCTGAAGGCCCTTCCTTCTCCAGTTCTACTTCCCCCTTTGAGGCTCACCAAACAACAGAGAGACACGTACCTCAGGGGCAAGGCATGGCAAGACAGAAAGAATGCCATTGACTCAATCTTTGGGCTCTAGGGTTCCCGGGTTGCTATGGAAAGTAAAAAAGAGGTCTCCCACGGACTGACTTTGAAGCCGTTTACTGCTAGACATGACACGTTTGATTTAAAGCCGTAACCCTTTCCACAGACCTTTTAGGACAAGGACTGTTCCTTCTGTACTATTTCGTCATAAAAAGTTAATTTTCGAGCGCTTTGTCGTTCACTTCTATGGTATGGCGCCGTATCATTACACACAATGGAAAAAAAAATCTACAACGACACACACAAAAAAAAAGGCATAATTGCAGTTTTTGGGTCTTTTCTCCTCAG